ACGTCAATCACACGACGTTAACAATAAAAAATGTGAAAATGTTGGGGTCACAGGGACAAGGGGTGAGAGTGAGGAAGAGACTAAAGAAAGTGAGAGAAAGCAAAAGAGAGAGTTGAGTCACTTCCTCTCCAAAAAAAGTGAGTGTTTACCTTCAGTCGCTGAGGAAATGACTGCATGGGCCTGCAGAGAGTTCACAGGCCGCTCTCACATTTCTCTCCGCCTCCGCTACTAGCCATCACTGCATCATCAGCTGCCAAGGAATACACGCACGCACGCACCCCCCCCCCCCCACACACACACACCCCCCCCCCACACACACCCACACACACACCCACACACACACACACACACACACACACACACACACACACACACACACACACACACACACACACACACACACACACACACACACACACACACACACACACACACACACACACACACACACACACACACACACACACCAAATACATAGGTCGCACATAAACCCTCCCGGAGGAGTATTATTAGTGCAATTGAATTACTTCCCTTCTGAAAACTGAAACCTTTTAATGTCAGTCATTGCAGCAGAGATTGATGACAAACAGAAAAGAGAAATAAGCATCTGTATTTACACACCGTAGAAAATAATGTAATAACACTTCATTACGAGTCAAAATTAAAAGTGCAGAAGAAAGATCATCAAGATGTTTTCATGGCGTCAAAGTCAAAATAAAAGTACTTACCGTACATCTGATGACCCCTAAATAAACATTGTTATATATTGTTGAAGTTAACAACTGTATTCATATGCACCAATAGTTTTAAAAGAATGATATCCTTCTCAATTTTAGAAGAGAACTACTTCAGAATTGCAATGTAGCCTACTAGAAGTTTATTTAAAGATGGCGTGTTCAGCCACTCTCTATGAGCATAATAGCCATTAGATAGCCTACTGCAGTTGGAAATATTAAATATATGGAGTCTTAGCGTGAGACCTGTTTTGCAGCAGGGAAGATCATTTATTTTAGCAGCATTTTCTGTGAGATTTCAATTTCTCTATCACCAACGTGTTGTTTTTTCTCATGAATTGCAAGCTCTGCAAGGTGTGAACTTCCACTGATGCGTTTAGGGAAATATGTTTATGGGTTCTCTGCAGCACTTGCTTCAACTTGATGTCACAACTCCCATTTGTGATCAATTTTGTTAGGACAAGTTTGCATCCCTTAAGTAAATCTTCAGGTTTAATCCAGTTTTAGTGGGAAGAGTGTATAGGGTCCTATCCTATAGTTCTTTAGGGGGGGGGGGGGGGTTCTCTTTCCTGTAGTGTTTTAAATAGGTTTTTCGTCATTTAAAGGGGACCTATCATGCAAAATGCACTTGATACATAAAGATGTGTCCCCGGTGTGTCAGGGAACTCACGCAGCTCAGAAAATAAAACCCTCTCTCTTTTCCTCCGTACCCAAATCTTTAAAACGGGGCGAACGGAGCTGATCCAGATTTGCGTCCAATATGACGTAATATCGGAAATGTGGACCCACGGCCCTATCAGAAACGTTGCTATCAGAAACAATGCCCGACTGTTTTGGACGTAACATGGTCGGTGTTTACATTAGCATCGCTAACACTCAGAGCTAACCTGTACTGGAGAGCAGGAAATAAAAAGCAGGAAATAAAAAGGAACTCACCTTGTGGTATAACCAGCAAGAGAGAAAGCCCTTGAGCTCCATACTGTTTCAGAAATAATCCTTGATAATCCATGATATGGCGTTTCATCACGGCAGTTTTTAGTTTAGACAGTAGCTGCCGGGTCCCGCATGAGCTCAGCCCCCTCCTTTTTAATTTGTTATCAATTTTTCAGCACTTTTGAAACAGGAAGTGAAACAGAGGGATATGAGGCATGGCTAGAATGGGTGGTCTGGTTGGTATTTTGAGCAAAACACTTCACAGACATGTTTTTTATTTATATATATATATATATATGAGACCTATGCTATTGCCTAAAAATAGCATGATAGGTGCACTTTAAATGGTCTGCAAAGGACTGGGCTCTGGTTTCAGACAGAGGGTGAAAAGAGGAGCTGCAGCACAGGCAGTATGAGAAACATAAAGAGCTTTTTGAACATTAAAGCATGGAGACATGTAGAGGCAGAAAATACAAATATGAACCTGAAAATAAGCATAATGTTATATTTAAAGATAATCCACATGTAGGTAACAGCAACTCTGATGTATATATAAAATCAATCAGACTATCAACATGTAATACAGCAGCATTTCTCCCCCATACAAGACTCACTTTTAGAATAGTTTTGTCTCATAAATTACTTGATTACACAAGCATTATTACAATCACATGAGATTGTTTAAAACAACACTTGGAAGGGAGCATTAGCAAAAAACTACAGTTTCCTGTAATCATACCAAGAGCCACCTTAAATAGCATAATAGTATAAACACAGCTGCCATTACTCAGCATCTGGAGAAGGGAAGGGTATTATTTGAGACCGGCCTTTGGGCGTGTCGACAGCACCTACACAATCTGTTTGGCACAGCTTCAGAAAACTCTCCTTCGGGGTTAACGCGTTCTCCTGTCACGATATGAAGGGAGTGAGACTGAAGTCATAACGCTAGGATAAACTAAAATTAGGAAGCACTCTTGGCTTTATCAAGTTTCAGCAAGTTGCCGCATCGTCGAGGAAATTGATCACTTCATTTAGTTTTTTGAATAAACAGCCACAGAAAGACAAGAAGTAGAAACAAGGCCCTTTAATATAATAACATGTACAGCAGGTAACGGGATGAAGTGATGAGGGGGGATATATATATTCAACACAGATGCATTAAAAAATATGTTTTCACATTTAATACTGACTTTTTAAGGAAGAATGTAATTACAGTTCAAACCTACATGCAAAGGCCCCCTTTTGTTTGTAATACAAAAAACAATAAATATGATTATCTGGGGTCAAGTCTACCTTGGCAAATCTTTTTCTGGCTATACAGTAATATATTTAACATTTTGAGTGCCTTTAAAAATACCCTACACTTGTAAATGTACATAGAATCGTTACATGGAGATTGTTATAGTAGTATACAAGGTAAAAGACAGCAGAGACCTACGTTTAAAGGCTGAGAAGATTAATGCTCTGCTGTAAACCCTGATGTCGTGTGACAACAGGAAGAACATCAGGAAGAATGAGATTACAAGTTATTACACAGCATATTTTTAAAGCACAAACTCTTTCGTTTTTTTCCCCGCACATACACTTTTCAACAAATGTTAACCCTCATTAATCCAGATTAAATGGCTAAGACTACATTCTTATGTACAGAAACAGCTGGAAGGCATTAGACGCTAGCAGAAGAACAGATATGCACATGCAAGCACCTCAATATGTCCGCTAGTGATCGCTAGTGACTGGCCGGTTACAGTATACAAGTCCAGAAAAGGTTAAGGCTCTCCGGACAAACCGTAGCAGCATGAAAAAAAACAAGGGAATGCTAACATATAATATAAGAGAGAAAGTCTAAACTGTTGATCTCTGCTCTGGAAATGACTGAATACACGTCGGATGTCTTCAAACTCTTGACACTTCAGCTTCACTTACCACATTATGATTGTGTCACTGATAGGAGCTCTGCAGAGGTGAGAGGTAAAGATTAGGACTGGTTCAGGATTCATTAAGACACAAACACAAGAGAGCAAAGGTAGTTATATTTAAATAGCTTTAAAGCTAACGGATGGATTCATTTGGGTAGCGCGAGAGAGGACGCGCTACCTTTTTGAATGGAATTAATCCATTATTAATGCTATTTTTGTCATTCAATATTATTGTGTCTGCATAATTTATAGCAGCAAACGTATTTTTTACAACAATTCTAGCTATTTTAATCTCAACTTGGTGAATTTGTTGTATTTTTTAACGGCCATTATGCACTTCTGAAAAGACAGTGCTGAAATATCTACACACAGGATAAGCAGTGCAACAACGATAAAAACAGAGGTAGTAAAACATCGCTATCCTGATAGGAGACAGATATTCTCTAAGAGTTCAAATTGCCACCATTTAAAAAAGTTGTTTTCCTGCTCTTTAAAGACGCAATTATGTGAAACACATTGACATTGTTTTGTTCATACAACTCTTACATTATTTAAAAGCACAAGCAACCAAAATAAAATACTGTAAAGTTTGGTTTGATCAACGATGACAAACAACATAATGCAAACGGTCTGAACTCCGTTTGTCCACACATGAAACATGAACCAGTCGCATGGATCCATTTCAACCAGTGTGCCCAATCAGTAACCGAGGGACAATTCAACAGCTACCCAATCTCTAATGTGAGAAACTATAAAAAACTCATGACCAGAGTGGTAACTTAAAGGTCCCATGTCATGCTTTTCCGGTTATCACCCGTCCCCTTGTGTGTTATGAAGGTTTTTATGCATGTAAACGGTCTGCAGAGTCAAAACCCTCCCCAAAACGCCTCGTTGGTGAAACGTCATCATCCATTTGATTCTTCCCGGAACGAGATTACGTAAACACGTACCCGGAACGAAATGGACCAATCCGTGGAGCCCTTACGTTACGTCCGCGGAGCCGTTACGTTAAGCCCCCGCTGATTGGTCCAAATTGACCAATCCACGGACTTCCTCACACACACACAGTGCAGGCAGCTCTGCTGACTTCTCCTCCCTGGCTGCAGGCTGGAGATTCTCTCTGCAGACCCATTCTCACAGCGTTTATCAACCTTTTTCTTAATCAATATCAAGCCACACTTATTGTTTTTACTTCGGCTGTGACTTTGTGTGTGCTCAGGGTGAGTTTGGCTGTGTATCGCTAAACAAGGAAATAACACCTCCACGGAGCTCAGCGCGATTCACAACGTCCCGACCAATCAGAGCACACTGTGCTCACAGGGAGGGTGGGGGCTGGAGCTATTGGAGATACAACGAGCCGTTAAAGGCAGAGAGTGAAATTCAGTGAATACACGTAGTTTACAGAGATGCTGTGAGGAACCAATGTGAGTTTGGAAAATTGCACAATATAAATCTATTCTAGTAGACCTCAACAATGGAATTATGATCAGTGGAAATGGCCATGACATGGGACCTTTAACTCTTGTCCTGACTTAAATCTTGAACAGCTGTTGATGGTTGACTGAGTGTTCAAGGCACTTGTATTTTAAATGAGAAAACAGCTCTTGTACACTTCAGCTATCAATTTCCTAAATTATTGCAGGAGAAGTTAGCAAACCTGCATCTCCCTGTGCCGAGAACAACCTGTGCTGCTGCTTGATGAACGTCCAGACAAATATAGTTGTTGTTGTTGAAGAATGTACCGTGGGATATTTTAAAACGTTATATAATTACATCTAAGAGTATGAAAACACCAGATATAAACGAGGCTCCAAGGCTTGGGTTATATGTAGCCTCACACTTCGACAGCATGTAACAGAGATACCTTATCCATCGTGTACAAACCACACAAACACCTTGTTCCATGTTTTTCACCCGGAGAAGGTTTCATAGGTAAAATGCCAGCAGACAGTTATTCCTATATGTATAAGCTCCTACACACAATCCACCACCGAGCTGTCGTCCTCGTCAGCTCCCCAGTCTCCGAACCTCATCTGAGGGGACGGCGCTGCCGGGTGGAGGTTGTTAATGTCGTCCAGAACGTCTTGCTCTGCGTCGTCCACGGGAACAATCCCCAAGTGACCGCCCTCCTCCCGGTGCGTGCGGATGTGTTTGCGCAGCGCCGCGGGCTCCTTGAAGCTGCGGTTGCAGAAGGGGCAGCAGCAGGGCCGCTCCCCGGTGTGGATCAGCTGGTGGTGTTTCAGGTGCTGCAGGCGGCTCAGGCGCTTCCCACAGATGGCACAAACATACGGTTTTTCCCCGGTGTGCGTGCGCCTGTGTTTGCGCAAACCGTCCAAGTGGCGGAAGCAGTTCCCACACTCTGAGCAAGAGTATGGTTTCTCACCCGTGTGAATACGCAGGTGGGTTTTAAGCGCCCCTGACTCGCGGAAGCGGCGGCCGCACACAGCACACGGGTAAGGCTTCTCTCCAGTGTGGATGCGGATGTGCTTCTTCAGGCTGGAGATCAGACGGAAAGTCTTCCCACACTCCAGACAGTGGTGAGGCCGGTCTAAAGAGGGCTCCACTGGGGTGTCAGAGGCTGAAGGTCCAGCAGAGTCGTCTGCTCTGCCTGGTGAGACGCCGTCTACTCTCCCGGCTCCAGGAGTCCTAGCCAACTGTTTCTGTCCATCAAGTCCTCCCTGCTGCAAGTCACTGCCACATTCTCGCACAGGTCTTTGGTGACGCAGTGGATGAGTAAAGGAACGCTGGGAAACCTCGTCCCCAACTTGAACGTAGCCAAGATCGCTCTCCCCGACCCTGTTGTCCTTCCTGCCGGGCTGACCGGAGCCTGAACCGGGCAACTGCTCCTCTTTAATCTCAAAACTGGAAGCTCCACCTTGTCCCTGAGTCTGCCTCTCATCTGAAAGACAAATTCAAACATGCAGAGATGGTTAATGTGAAAGGAATACTATATTAAAACACAACTATGAATCCATGTCCATTTAAAATAACTCCTTGATTTACTTGCTCTCACAATCAAAGACAAAGGACACCATAAAAAATAAAACAGAATAGAGTTTAATGGATTATTAGATTAATCAATGAGTAAACCAGAAAAAAAGCATTTGCCTTCTTTGTTGATTATTGTCATTTGCAATGACCTGAGGTCTAAGTCTTTCAAATGTGGAGATGTACAGCTTTTCTCTGGTTTATTTAATATGAAACTTAATCTTTGGGACTGACAACACAAAGTAAACATCTGATTAAGCCATAATGGAAATAACAGCTAGTTTTAGCCCTAATACACACAGTTCAAATTGCATATTTACCTGGTCTATCGGAGCACATATGCGATGTGTTGGAGGTAAAGGTGTCCAGCGCGTGGTTGGTCACAGAGCCGTCGGGCTGGATAGAGAGCTGGCACATTTTGTAGTCATCTCTTGTATCAAACCCGTGAAGGGAGTCATCCACTGACCCACCGAGACCCAAGTCCACCCCGGCTCCGTTCACATTCCGGCCACCCTGGTGGTCCCGGTCCAAGCCTGAGGCCATTGAAGCCATGGAGGAGAGAGACGGGGCGAACACGGACTGCCCGATGGACGGAGAGCCGGTGTAGGAGATCTGCAGCTGGTCTATGTGCTTCTGAGCGCTGCACAGACACTCCTGTAAAGTCTTCAGCTCCCTCTCAGACACCTCCAGACGCACCTTGAGTCTCTCATTCTCCTGTTCCTTGTGCAGCAGCTCTAGCTGGGTCTCGTTGAGCACCAGCACCACTTCCCCCAGCAGAGTGTCCACTGCAGCGGACATGGCGGTCTGGATGGTCGGGGCGAGCCGGGTCTTCAGCGACGTGACGGTCACGCCGCCCTGCGAGGCTCCTTTCCGGTCATAACAGGACTCGACCCCGCTCCTGTCTATTAAGCTCTGTTTACGATTTCCATTTCCGCTATTAGAGGGAGTGGAGACCATGCCAGCAGCAGCATAGCCTGTCCTCCGGGCAGTCATGATTTTAAAGTTAGCTTTAATGCAGTTTGCTAGCGTTTACAGGCTATGCTAACGTCTGATGAGCTATTAAAACAGTCTAAAATTACGACCAACTGTAATAATCCTGCAAGTGTTGTATATTAAAACAACGAACCGCTATTACATCTGCCCAAGTTATGTTTATCTGGCGTGGCTGACAAAAACAATGAACTCTTCGCAGGGCCCCGGTACCGCTAGCTCACATTAGCCTGCTAGCTTTAAAGCTAAAAACGCGAGTCGGTAAAAACGTCCTCTTGCAAACACCGTGACTCTGCAGGAGGAAAGAGTCGACGGTCTTTACCGGCGTTATTCAAGTCCGTAGATTATTGTTCAGTGATAGCATGGTCCCAGCATCGACTCACCCATCTCCTGCCTCAGCCAGCTGAACTGCTCTGTGCTGAGGCCCGTCGCACAGGGATGGCATCAGAGTAGCCTGTGTTCACTGTACCCTGAGTGTTGACTTGAAGGGAGTTTCTTCCTCTCAGCAGAGCATTATAAATAAGCCATAGTGCTCCCTTCTAAATGTAATGCTTGCCAAGCATTTCGTATTTCTATTACATCTTGCATATTAGAAACACATTTTCTTTATATAATTGTTGCATTGAAAATGTATGTATAGACAATACAATTTGTAAACCCTACATTCAGACTCTTCTTTTCTACTTTTCATCTAAAAGGTCAAATATAATTTACATTATACAATAATACCATAGCTTAAGCTACCCTGCAGTATGTTAAGACATTTAAATATGCTCCACTTTCAACAGTTGCATAATTAAAGCCATGTACACAATGTTGCATCAATAATTAGTACACATTAACATAGATCATACATTTCCAAACTACGCGATTCGATCAGTCAAATTAGTACTTTTCTTTATTTATTCGTATTTAGTTCAATCAGTTTCACAAGTTTACCAAAGGGGTGGCAAAATGACATCAAGATAAAGAGCAATTGATTCGTTGAATTAACTCTCAGAATAATAAAATAATTGTTTCTGGATTCTCTTTTTTAATGTCAACATTGTTCACCTGTTACAAAAGACAATATGTGTCAACAGATGCTTTACATAATAGGCTATCCTGTTGAAAATGTATTTACTTAGTTTGCAGCTCATTGGCTTTTGCAAATTACACAGCTTCATATTGCACCATTACATAACTTGCTAATTAGCTACAAGTGGAAGAATTACTCAGATCTTGTACTAAAAGTAAAAGTACCAGAATGTAGGAATGCTCTGTTACAAGTCACATTATTAATCCAAGTGTGCAAAGTAACTCACGGTATTAAATAAATGTAGTGGAGTAAAAGTACACGATATACCTCTGAATTGTAGTTGAAGTAAAAAGAAGCAAACTTTTTTTAACATTTAATTACTCAAGTAAAGTCCCTCAAAAATGTTAAAGAAATATCTTGTCTAAACTGCCCTAATGTACAAGTGTATTTGGTCCTATTTACAAGCCTGCAAGTTTTAAATCAGGGCGAAATGCGGCCCAATCTTCGTGGCTGTGCAGCAGCCATTTGCGGAAAAAAGCTATAGTTTTCCTCTTTTCAATCTTAAATTAGATTTGCGGGTTCAAAATCCAAAGCACACTCAGGTCATTGACCTCTCAGATGGTTATATATACTCTAAAACCGGCGGAAGACATACCACTTCATCCTCAACAGCAGGATGCTGTGAAAGAGGCCAAACGTATCATGAACTTTGTGATGCTTCGCAGATGAACTGTTCAATGTCAAAATACAATCCATCATAACAAATAAAAAAAATTAATTACTGTCAACCACACCAAGTGAGGAAACACGGACATCGGCTCGCCTGGCTCCAAGTTAAATTCCTCCTTTTTTGCGTGTTTCCCTTGACTGGGCTGTAGGGGGCACTGTAGACGGCTTTAATAATACTGAAGTAAGAAACCTTACATTTATCATCTATGTAATTGAAATGACTTCCCAAACAGGAAGGAATTAACACTTAAACATTTGTTTATTTAAGTTATTCTTCATTATTATTATTTATATCACGTATTGTTGTTTTTTATGTAATAACTATCACATTATACTTTAAAAGGTGTGTTGCAGTTCCCAATTTGTTCCCCTGTTTACCAGCTCTTGGATCCTTTAAAGATGAAGTAAAGTATTGAGTGATTCTTAAGAAGAATCATGTCAGTTCTAGTTTTATGATATCATTATGCATTTTCCTTATAACAGGACCCTGTTGAATTGACTTGGGTCGCTTCTATTTCTTTATTATACAAAACTATATTCACATGCAACCGTTCGTAATGAGGAAAGCAGACTCATACCAGCCACAGTGGTTGGGGAAAAAGTGATGTGTTGCATGGCAAGAGGGGCAGTGCATTGTGGGTCATGTTACAACACTTCTTTATCTGCCTGATTATTTTGTCACAACAGAAATATTTATTGCTCATATTGACACACTATCTAATAAAAAGACTGTGACACTGTTTCTCCCATTGTGGATAAACCATTTACAGACCTACAACTGACTAATTTCACCCCTGGCCTTATGTCACTCCTGTGATTAGTTACATGTCCGTCATAAAACTACCTATACTCTGTGACTAAGCTGTACCATAACTTAGAATTCTATTTTTTTCCCTAGACAAGAACAGCTGGAAAACAACCGTATTTTCCCCCTGGGGTCAATAAAGTCTTCCGAATATGAACATGAATTATTAGGAAATAAAGCAAAAATAGATGCATGTTTTTCAGTGTAGAAATCAGATACAATACATACACAAAGCCTGTGTTACGCAATACATAAACCTACCCATAATCCTGCATACAAATATATGTACAAATATTCTCCTTCACACGTACACACCCACACTGTATCCAGTAAGACCCAAACACATTGACTCACCCACGGCTCATACACGATAGAAAGAAAATATACAATAAAAGTATAAGAAACATAATAAGGTAAGATAAGATATGGTGTTTCAGAAAATAAAGTGAAACATGTAGATAAGAATTCGAAAGGATACAAATATTGATAAAAGGTACAAATAAACAGTATAAATAGAAATTACAACAATAACATATAAACATGTCTTTATGCAGGTGTTAGATCTAGTATATTTGGGTAGTCATTCCTGTTGTTCAATGAGTAAGTGCATTTTGATATAATTGTTCTCTCAGTCAGAGCTGACTGAACACAGTCCTTCTGGTACACATTGAGTAACCCACGGCTCATACAAGATGGAAAATATACAATACAAGTATAAGAAACATAATAAGATAAGATGGTGTTAAAGAAGCAACAGAAAATAAAGGGAAACACGTAGATAATAATTCACACAAGGATAATAATAATAATGATAAAAGGTAAATAGAAATAACAACAATAATGCAGGTGTTAGATAGTGTATTGGGGTAAAATAGTCATTCATGTTGTTTAATGAGTAAGTATATTAGTATTTTGATGATATTGTTTTCTCAGTCAGAGCATACTGAACACAGTCCTTCTGGTACAGGGCAATGCGAACTAATAGTGCCCATATTTTCTGTGGTCTAAGCTCAAAGTCAGACCTGAGATGAGAGCGTGCAGCTGGATTTGTGGCCGGCTACATCTGGAAAAGTTGCTTTCCCACATGTCACATAAACATATTGTTCAGTTCTTCTCCTTCCTGAAAGCGCTGACTGCAGTTGTGATGTAAATTCTAAAAACAATCACCACAACTTGTACTTCTTATTCTGACTGTTTTAGTCTTCTTAAGAAAAATACCAGCATAGTTATTTAAGACTTGTTCTTTTCCAGAACAAGTACAGTCAGGTTGATTTCCGGCCTTTTTGGTGAACAACAGCACATCAGTAAAGTCATACATTTTTTTCAGGTGATAGGACATGTGGTTGAGATAATGGGATGGGCGGTCCCTGGCATATGTCAGGGATGATGAATTCTAATGAATAAAAGCCCTGACGTGGACAATACCCAATCCTGTTCAATTTCCCTCAGCCCTAAAAGGAAAACAAGAGATCATTAACAAGAAGTGCATGCTCTAAATAAATGTGCACACCGCTAAGGAATGCACATGATTCGCCTCACCAGTAAATGATGTAATTTTGTAGCTTATAGTAATCATGCCATTAACAGCAAGCCCATAGCATTCAGCAAAGAGGGAGGTGGAGCTGGTCAAACAGAGTCGGGAATAAGGGGGGGTTGTGGGAGGAGGGCAGAAAGAAGGAGGTGATTGAAGGGAAATAAATAAAGGAGGAGAGAGCAAAAGAGGGAACAAGTGGACGGAAAGACAAGGGGAACGGAGCTCATTCTCAATCAGATTTGAAAACCTTTGCATAACAGGTAGGTTTATAACTTTTTATTATATTTTCACTCTTAACACAAGAGATTGTAGCCTAGCTGTGGCTAAACAAATAGCACAGAGTAGTATTCAATAGTGGCTCCTGCTCTATTTTAATGAGGTCAAACAGACTTATCTCTCCAAGGACTTTTGTGAATGGGATCCATTGTCGATTCTCTATGCATGTCCAGCACAGCACATATTTCAGGTATGTTTGTGTGGATTCTTGTGGAAACGGCACTTGCAGCTGTCCTGTAACTGGACCCAGCTCAGAGGGCGTGTAGGCATTTGGACCTGTTGTGCAATACGCCTGGAATGCTGAATTAGTATGAGGTATATCTCCATATCTTAACAAGTGAGGATTAATGATAGCAGCTCTGTTAACAAGACTATAAATTCTTCACAAACATGCCACAGAATAAAACTTTTAACTAATGAAGTGTCCACAGTTGCAGTGTGCGTTGCTTTTTAGACAGTTAATGCTGTGAGTTCTTTTTCAATTTCCCAGCAAGCACTAGGCTCACATTTAAGCTATTTGTTACATTCCCTGTGCAATTATATACCCTGTAAAAGACACAGCATCAGTGAAGAAATGACTGCATGTCCTCATTCAGAAGAGACTCTAGTCTGGAAGCCCCGGGGCTGATGCTTTTCATTGA